TGTGTGTGTGTGTGTGTGTGTGTGTGTGTGTGTGTGTGTGTGTGTGTGTGTGTGTGTGTGTGTATGGAAAATGGAAAAGACTGGCTATAATCCAGTTTCATGCAGCCTGGCTAAGCAAGGAAAATACCTGTGCTACCCTTTGCTATGCTGGCTGGTTTGTTCTGAAAGTATGAGTTATCTTCTCAAATGATGAGACTTTAAGAAAATTCAACTCTGCCATCTTGAGGCCAAGGAAAGCGTGTGCCCATAATCATGCCACCAGAGCTGTCCTGTATGGCTACTTGACTACACAAGATACAGTCTCTTCAGGTAAATGTTACCCCAAATTTCATACATTTGCTCATTACTTTTTGCAGTATTGACTGAGGCTCATGATACTGCATGTATACCCATTTAAGTTCGCCTACAGTTGTGTCTTTTTTTAAAGTAAATTTTACTGAACAAGTTATGGTTTGTGAATGTGATGGAATATTATTTGGCTGAAAATTATTCTATAAGAAATTATGAAAGGGATGATTTTAGAAAAACCTGGGGAAATTTGTATGAGCTGTTGTAAAGTGAAAGAAGCAGAACTAGGAGAACAATTTATATAATAACAACAATACTGTATAGATGATGAACTTTGAAAGACTCAGGAACACTAAGCAACACAGTAAACAACCAAGGACTCAAGATGAAATATGCTGTCCACCTCCAGATAGAAAGGGGATGGACACAGAGAGTAGATTAAACATTTTTTATTTTCTTTCTCTCTTTTTGGACATGGCTAAGCAGGGAATTTGTTTTGTAGACTATACATAATTGTAATAAGTTTTGTTTTTCTCGGCTTCTCAATGGGTGAGGGAAGAGAATGTGGAAATGGAAATAAAATAAAACTGAATTTTAGAAAACAAACTCTATGAGTAAAGATTACTGCTTGCTCCTGAGCTCCTATCACCTTCCTTCAACTGTCCACTTGATTTCTCAAGCCGTATGTCTCATAGGAATCTCAAATTCAGTAAGGCCAAAAAATAAATTATCTATCTCCCAAACCCACCCTTCTTTTAAACTTCCCAATTTCTGTCTAGGGCAGTACTAGTCTTCCAACATTCCAGGTTTACAATCTGGGTGATATCCTCGATTCTTCACTCTTCCTAACCAGACACATTCAATCAGTTGCCTAACCTTGCATCTACTGCCATACTCTGCCCATCTCTCTCTCCTCACTTGGCCTCCACTCTATTTCAGGCCCTCATCTCTTTCTCATCTAGACTATCCTAAAGCCTCTTAATTGGTCTCCCTGACTCAAGTTTCATGTTACTCAAATTCACCCTCCACCGAGCTGCTCAAGTGACTTTCCTTAAACACACAGTTCTGACCATGGCATCATTTCCCTACTAACTAAACTCCATTGGCTCCTTCTGTACAATCACCGGATTTGAAAGCTGGAAGGGACCTTCCCAGTGCTGAAAGGAATTCAACACCACAGCATAACTGACAAGTGGTCACCCACACTCTGCATGAAGACCTCCAGGAAGGAGGAAGGCGCCACCTCTGGAAGCAGCTACTGTACTTTTGGACAGCTCTAAATATTAGGAAGCTTTTACTGATACCAAGACTACATTTGCCTCTTCTCCACTTCTGCCTATTGTTCTTGGTTTTCTTTCTAAGTCTAAACAGAACATGTCTTATGTCTCTTCCAAATGATAGCCCTTCAAATACAAATACAAATACAAATACAAATACAAATACAAAAACACTATCATGTGCCCCAGAGACTTCTCTTCTCCAAAGCTAAATATTCCCGGTTCTTCAACCAATCTCCTTTGTGATATGAATCCAGGGCCCTTGGCCATCCTGGATGCTGACCTCCAAACACTCTCTTAAACTGTAGTACTCCAAAATACTCCAGATGAGATCTGATGGGTGCAAAATACAGTGGGATTAGTACCCCCTTGCTCCTAAAAAGACCTGCCTCTCTGAATTTAGCCCAAGACTGAATTAGCTTTTTTGGCTGCCATATCACTGACTCACACTGAATGTGCATTCCACTAAAACCCCGAGATCTTTCTGAGAAGAGCTAACTACACCATATTATCTTATACTTGGTGAAACTGATTTTTTTTTACTCAAGTGTAAGACTTTACATTTTCCCGATTGATTTTCAGCTTATAACATTCAGACTATTAGCATACTGAGATCTTTTTTTGGATCCTGGCCACTTTCCAGTGTGCTTTCTAGGATGAAATATAAACTCCTCTTTTGGGTTTTTAAAGACCTTCACAACCGTCCCAACCTACCTTTCCAATTCTGTCATATATTACTCTCCTTCCTGCACTCAGCAGCCCTGGCAAACTGGCCTTCTTGCTGGTCTCATATACACCACTTCATTTTCCTTTCCCATGCTTTTGCACTGGTTGTCCTCCCATGCCTAGAATACACTCCTTTCTCACCTCCACCTCTTAGAATCTCATTTCCCTCACAACTCAGCTACAACGCCACCTTCTGCAGGAAGCCCTTCCTGCTGCCCCCGTTGTTGGTGCCCTCCCCACCAAAAGTACCTAAATTTCTGCACATTCGTATATATGGACATGCTGCCTACTTCCCCTTTCCCTCCTCCCTGGCAAGGACTGTTCCCCAGCACCAAGCACAGCTGCTGACAGAGTGGGAGCTTAATAAATGCTTATTAAGTGATATAGTGACTTGCTCAAGCTCACTCAGCTAAGTAAATAACCTCCTAAATCACATCATCTCACGAGCAACTCAAAAATCCAGTCACATTTCTATGGCCCCACAGCCAATGCAGAGTGATAAGAGAGTGATGAAGGGAAATGAAGAAAGAGACATCACTTCTGCCCATGTATACTCCATTCATTCTTCAAATGTTGTTCTAATTTTCAAAAAGGGGAAGAAGGTGGATACTTCAAATTACAGGCCTACAATATAAATTCCTGATGAAACTCTAGAATGGGTTACTAAAGGGAGAGTCTATAAAGCACTCAGAAAGGGAAGACAAAATGGGAAAGGGAAGACAGGATCAGAAATTAGCATGAGCTCCTTAAAAACAAGTCATGACAGATTAATTTCTTTTTTTTTTTTCTGGATTGGGTCACTAGACTACATGTGGAGAATATCATGAACGCAATATATCTTGATTTCAGCAAAGTAGAGCATAATATACAGGATTACGGTAAATGTTTAACAACTGTCTCTCTAAGAAAGAAAAAATACATGACAACACACTTCCAATTTAATCTGCATTATTAATATTTTCTCCATCACTTTCTTAAGTCTAGAACCAAAAAAACAATAAATCAAGCCCTGACTTGTAGCGTTTGCTAATTTCTAAGGTGTAAATGCTCATACTGAAATTTTAACAATCAGCTCTAGTGAACAAGTATGAGATGGCTCTAGCACACCACTGAAATACCGCCTAGGATAGACCTGTAGGCATAATGGAAAGCTTTGAGCTGAACACTAGTATAGCTGGGTAGTAAAAAGAGCACTGGATTTGGAGTCAAAGGGCATGGGTTCAAATCCTACCTTTGTGTACTACAGAACTCATCCTTCCTACTAAACTTCTACCAAACTTTACCATTTCTGTTGAGGGCAACATGATACTTCTAGCTTCCTAGGTTCATAACATCAAGTTTTAAGCCTCAACTCCTCACATTCCTTTACCTCACACATCCGAACAGTTGCCAACTCATACTATTTTAGTGACTGTAATACCAAGATTTCAAACCTAGTTCAAAGACCCACATCTTCCAAGTAGCTTTCCCTGATGATTCCAGCCCACACCGATATCTATCTTCTCTAATTCCTTTTGCACTTATTATCTGTATTACATAATTAGAATCTGATTATACATTTTCCTACTCTCTGTACTACACAATTCAGTACTTTGTTATATTAAGATATAAAACTGGCCCTCCACTAAAGACCTACTCTAATGATTCATCAAGGTGAAGAAACAACCCTAGGTTCTTGAAGGTTATGCAAAGAATAATCCTGGTTATGTCCTAGGGAAGCCATTAGGTGATGAATTTTTCCAGTCATAGCAGCCTGTAGAGATCACATAATTAAAGTAAAACTTCATAACTGTAACCTGCACTGGTAGAGAGAAAAGAGACACCAATGAAATCCCAAACATTTCAGATGCAGTATAATGCTGATACATGTAATATATAAATAAAATACTTGTCCTATTAAATGGTTTACATATATGCCTTATCTGAACTAGATTGCCAGCCCCTTGTAGTTAGGGACTACCTTATACTCACCTCTTTAATACCCTAAAGTGCTAAGAACATAGTAAGCACTCAAACACTTTCTGATTGCCAGCACCTAAAAGCTGTCCTGGCTCTGGGTAAACTTACCCGTTCTCTCTTGGCGATATCGGCAGCACTCAGACCTTCTGCAGCTTTCGTCCCAGCACGGATCACTGCAAAAAAGTGGGCAAAAGGCCAGGGGGTCACCAAGGGAGTTTTCACTGAGCAATCAGAGGAATGTTTTCTGAATGATGCAAACTGCATTCAAGACCCAGAGAGACTTGCTGGTCAGGACACAGCAGTACAGCCCAGAAAAAGGCTACAATTCTCTGAACTCAGAACTGCCCCCAAGTCTAAAGCATTGAACATTTTGTTTTTACAAAGGGGTTGAACATGTATGGAGGATGTTAGATGGAGAGGCCTGGAAGTAGTGCTCAATGATTTGTACTGCCCAGACAGCTACCAGGCAAACTTCTCTAGCCCCTGACATGGAGTTATCACCTACAGAGTGAGACAGTGACACATTCAATTAAGTTAAACTCAACAACACTTATTAAGGGCTTTCTGTGTGCAAGGTATTGTGCCAAGCTCTGAGGATTCAAAGATAAAAATGAAATAATCTCTGTCCCCGAGGAGCTTATATTAGGAAGAATACAACATGTACACAAATAAGTCAATTTGTAGCTAGTCTTCACCCGAACTCTAAGCAGATAAGCAAAACCCATACATGAAGATATCCAACTATGGAGCTAACAAGAGCAGATAATATTAAAGAACGGAGGATAAAACTTTCTGAAAAATCCAAACCATGGCTTTGGAGAACATGGCATTGGGAATAGGTCTGGCTTTTTCTGAGGGCTCCATAATTTTGCTTGTGGTGATCTGCTGTTAGGAATATTGTTTTTTGGCTTTTTAGAGACAACTTTCCATTACCTGTGTAATAATGAGAAGTAGCAGAGTTCAAGACAAGGAGGGCCAGCTGAGTCAGGAAGCCTAAGGGTCAAATTCTGCCAGTGACACACACACAGTAGCTGTGTGACTGCAGGAAACACAAAAATTCTAAATGCCCTCAGGAAATTGAGACCTGAAGTTACAGGTGAACTGCTGATCTGCATGAAAAGAGGCAGTTTCCATACTGAGAGCTTCCCTAAACTGATAAAATCACAGATCCAAGCTAAAAACAACAAAAAAGGGAAGAATCAAGAATCCAAAACGATCATGTCAGCAACTGGTTCGAAACTAGAGTCCCACACCAAAGCTTCTAGCAGAAACGGTGACAAGGAGATAAGATTCCTGGTTCGAGTTTCCTTCTCCCTCTTTACTCCTGCCCACCCTCCGGTGAAATGTTTAAATGCAGATTCACAAAGCAGATACCAGGACCTGGCTCTTCCACAACATACAAAGTCCTTTCCTCATTAATCAAAGCTAACTATCCGCAAAGCTAGAATAACATATAAAAGGTGCTTAATAAAAGTTTTTGAATTGAATAATATGAATAGTGCCTGAAAGTCACTGGATTTAGAACCTGAAAGAAATTTTAGAAATCATATAATAGCACCATATGAATCCCTTCATGTAATAGAAATAGTTTTTTGTTTTAATGCAAAATTGTGCCCAGAATACATCATTGCCAAATCTCTTCTGAGACATGAGAATGCAGCTGTGAAAATGCATCGACTAAAAGGTTCTCTGAAGGCCCACTGCAGATACGGCATTCTCCTGGACCGGGAAGCTGCACACAACGTCTCCCCTTACTCACAGCCTTCTCTGGCCAGATAGAGGTTCCGGGTTCCAGTTTGCTTCTTTATATTCTTGCTTCGCAATTTTTCAGCTTCATCCCGGGTCACAGCCAAATCCACCTTGAGCTTCCGGCCATCCAGCTTTAGCCCTCCATCCTGCAATAAAACATATCCTCTATCTCTTCATCTAGGCAGGTAGACACAGACAGGAAGCAACGAAGCATTTAACAAGCAATACAGTGAAAGGGCAATCCAAATCTTTCTATCTGAAATGCAAATTTAGGATATTCTGGTCTGGTGGTAACAAGGTGTACCTTTTAATGTGTACTATTTTCTAGACTAAGAGCTAATGACAAATACAGCCTTGCATATAGCAAACCACTGCTTACTACTGACTCTGAATAGCCCCCAGCTATCTAAATGGTCCAGAAGGCAGAACCAAATTGGTAAGGACATTGTAAACTGGCAAATACTTAGTACTACAGGCAAAGCTACTGTAACAACAAATGAGGATACACTTCATTAAAGAGAAGAGAATCACGGCAATACAAAATAATCATCCAGCTTTGGAATGCCTTCAGAACATAGTCCCACCTATACCTGGCACCAACTCTTTTCTAGACTAAGCATGTTGCTGACTGATGACACCTCCCCAAGTGGATCATCTGCTTTTATGTATGCCATCTTCCAAACTTGAAAAAAGTAATGCTTCTCCCTTCAATTCCAGTGTTGAAGTACCATGAAATTTTCTCTACCTCTCCACCCCAAATGAAAGCTCTCTCTTCAAAATTCGTCATAGCACTTTTGCCTAGACAACTTTGTATTCTAGATATTTCTGCATCTATTTTAACCCTTTCCTTTCCCCTCCATTAGACTATAAGTCCCTCGAATCCTACTTATTATTACAGTTGTTTTGATTTCATCTATGTACATGTGGAAACTCTCACCACGGATGAAGTTTAGCAACTCATCTGTAACCTATTAGAAAGCTGCAAGGGTAAGTGATGTGCTCAGTCACACAGTCAATGTTTCAGAGGCAGCACCTGAACCCAATGTCTTCCTGGCTCTCAGGTCAGCTTTCTTACCCACTACACCTCAATGTTTAACAAATGTTTGCTGAATTAAATCTTCTTGTAGATAATCAAGAGTTGACACTAATCAAAGTTATTGACCCTATCAGATTTTGCTATGGAAATCACTATGGCAAAAATTATAGGTCAAGGAAAATGTCTTACCTCAGTCTCTGCAGAAGCTGCTGCAAGACACGCCTGAGCTGCTTCCTGAGTCATGAACTGGGCAAATGCACAACCTGGAGAGAAACAGAAATGAAACGTCTTCCTGGGCACATCAAGAAGTCAAGCCCAATATCCTGTGGAGGCCGAAGTGAACTGAGTCAGTGATGCCTCTCATGACACATCCCCTTGCAGAGCTCGGGCCTTTGTCCCATCTTTCCTTCTCTGCTCCCACTGACCAGCCTCTTCTCCAATAAGAGATCTACTTCTCAGTACTGCCAAGTGTAAGCAGATGGCCTGAGGGACACAAGGAAGGGCTACCCACTTTGTTTCCAGTTTTTTGCCACCATAGATAGTATTGCCATGAATATTCTGGTGTATATATAGAACTTTCTTTCTGTTTCTGACCTCCTTGGGGTATATGCCCAAGAGAGGACTGATAGGTCAAAGGGTATGTAGAACAGCTTAGTAGTTTTTGTAAATAATTCCAAGTTGCTTTCAGGATTCATATATTGCTAATTCCATCATTCTGAAAGAGTGAGATTAATGGGCCACTTACCAATTGCCTCTTTCTGAACTGGAAGACATCAGAAAAACTTTAGATCACATTAGTGACTGAATATAGGGATTCTGCTATGTAAATTAGTGCTCCCTTCACTTATGTTCAAACTCTCTTTTTCAATGAATAAATGACTAAAGAGGCATTTATTAAGAACTTAATATGAGTAAAGCATTTTGTATAGCACTGGGGATACACAGAAAAGCAAGACAATGCCTGCTCTCAAGTAGCTCACATGCTAACAGGAAGGCAACACAGAGAGAAAGGTTCAGCTTCAAGTCAGATGAAAAGGCTGGAAGGCAGGGGCCAGGGAGAAAATAAGCATTTCCTCAGCACCCATTATGTGTCAGGCATTGGTCAAGCACTTTACAAATATTATCTCATTTGATGCTTAGGTAGCACAGCAGACAGTAATGCATCTTCTTTAGTGTTCTTTCCAATGATTAAACCCAGATTCATTTCCAGCATTTAACCATTTGACAGAGCCAGGGTCTCTGGGTCTTCAGTATCAGTGGCTACTGAGAAGACAGGGGCTGCAGCATCTACAGAGGGAGCTGTCAGGCTTTTTCTCCACAGGGTGGCAGGTGCCAGGCTGATGAAAGGCTAGTGAACTGAAGGGCCCTGTAATTCCCAGGGCTCTTGGGCAAGGGGTCCTGGACTGTCACTACTAGGTTCTGAGGAGAAGCAAAGTCAAGGTAGTGGCAGTCACCTGGTACATGTTTTGACATGCTACTTTGGCTACCCTGTTTTGCCTGTCATAAATAGCAAAAGATTAGCAACTGATATAGAGTACACATCCCCCCCAACCCCCTACCCCCGATTCGCCTCAAGGTAGCAGGGTGTGGCTTCCCTGTTCTAGTATTCTCTGATTTGGAGACACCATGCTATTCAAAGCCTTATCTTTTGATAAACCTACATACAACTAAGAATAAAAACAAAAAAACAAAAAACTTAATACAGTAGGCACCTGCTTCCCAGTGACTTTCTTGAACTTCATTATCTTTCTGCAAGTGAAATAATCCTTTCTGTTTTATTTCTAACATTCCTCCGGATTTTTTTGACCTTTTTGGTTACAGGAATATTCTGGGTAGAAGATTATCTTTAGAGAACAATCTACAATGAAGAAAAGATCCCTCTGCTAAGGTGTAGCTGATAGCTCAAAACTAATTATCTTAATAGGTATAACTCAAATTATTTTTTCTCAAAATGGCATTTTTTCGCTTGCCAACACTGAAGTTCATCTGCTACTTTTCTGCCTGCCTACTCACACAACCTGATGAGATCTTCCTACAATCCATGCCTTTTGATGAGACATCATACTACCTCGAAGAGATGAGTGCCATCTGCTTAAGTATTTTTATGTGCACTTTCTCTTCCAGATCATTTTTACAAATGTTAAAGACTAAATCCAACATTCTCCATCCAGAGAACTGCTGGCTTATCCAGGTTGGCTTAAAAAAAACTTTCTTTGCTCCTATACCATGTTGTTGTCTTCACTCTGGCACACAGAATGAAGTGCTGGGATGCAGCATCCCTAAAGTTACTTACAACCAAGCCATCCTGTCATTTTCCTTTCTCACAGAAGGTAGCCGGGCAATGGCCAAACATAGATGTATGAGTTCTCCATCACTTTTGAAATTTAGATAGACACAAACAAAAAAATGTATCTTACATTTCTTTCTGGTTGTCTATTGCATGACACACCTTCTTATCAATTTTTGCATTAAAAATATTTTAGGTTGTTCCATTTCCAAGGCAGGTTGGTTGGGCCCGCACAGTCTAAAGTCTGAGCCAAGAAAGGTGATCCTGATTTTCTGGTATAATTCCTTAAATGTTTATAAATCAACAACCTGCATGCCCAAAGTCATATCTGAAATTAGCTGATGAAAAAAAAAATTAAAAAAAAAAAAAAAGAAATTAGCTGATGTTCCCCAGGTGATCTGTATGTAACCAAGTTTAGGACAAGCATAGGACCAAAATCACTTAATTACCAACTGAGCTGGTGGTTCTGGCCTTGGTTGCCTTCTTTTTTCCTTCTACATTTTTTCTCCTGGTAATATAACCAACAACCATTTGTTTAATTATCATCCTGAAGTATACAATACCCAGATTAAAGCCAGCCCTAATGTCTCTTTGAAACTATAGTCCTATCAACTGTATAGTGGACATCTCATGCTGGATATCCCATAGGTGTCCCAAACTCAACATACTGAAAACAGAACTTTCCCCCAAACCTGATCCTCTTCCAAACTTCTACAGACAGAACTACTTTTCTTACACTCACTCAGGGTAACCCTGGAGTCGTTCTCAACTCTCTCCCTTCTCTCCTTTTCCTTTCTTAATCCCCATTATATCCTATCAGTTGCCAAGTCTTATCAATTCTGTCTTCAGATTTATCTTGCAAATTCTTCTTCCTCTTCATTCACAACTTCCTACAGAAGATCTCCATCCCATCTAACCTGGACTCTTACCATAATCTCCTGACTGGGCTCACCAAAATAATCTTCCTAAAAAAGTTTGACCATGTCACTACCCTGATCCTCTTCATGACTCCCTGGGGACCCTTAGATAAAATACAAAATCTTCGGTTGGAGATTAAGGCTCTTCAAATTTTGTCTCCAGCCCAGTTTTCCAAGCTTATTTCACATTATTCCCCCTTACCCACTACATTCTGGCCAAACTGACCTATCTGCTGTTTCCAAAACTTAACATTCCATTTCCCAATTCTATGCCATTGAACAGGCCTGCATCCCTCCAGCTCCTAAAACCCCTGGTTTCTTTCAAAATTCAGCCATCTCGTGTTGGATACCTTTCCTGACCCCTCTAGTAAGTGCTCCTTCCCTCTTCAAATAATCACACAGACTTCGCTGTTTACATGCTGTATCCCCCCAACTCTGTCCGTGAGGACAAGAGATTGTTTTTCTTTTGTCTTTGCTTCTCCACATGAGCAAAGGGCCTTGCAAGTAGTAGGTACTTTAAAAAATTCTTGCTGAATTGAATTGAATTGGAGAATAAATAGGAGTATTTGAACATACTGAATTATCATGTCATAAAAAATGACAAATATGAGGAATTCAGAGAAAAATGGGAATATTTATATGAACTGATTTAGGAAGAAAGCAGAACCAGAAGAACAATATACATAGTAATTATAATGTCAGTGAAAACAACTCTCAAAGGCAGATGGACTCAGATTAAAAGCAATGACCTGTCTTATTCACAGAAGACAGACAATGAAACATACTTTCCTCTTCTCAACAGAGAAGCAGGGACTACAGAATGTTGTATACACTGGCACACCAGACCAACGTTTAACTGTTTTTCTTTGTTAAAAGGGAGGGTTCTATGGCCATGGAATGTTAGGAAATAACTGTGATATAAAAGATAAAAAGCAACGATAAAAAATTTTTTTAAAATGTGTAGGAGATGCCATTTTTTCCCATTCTTCCATGAATTACCATTGAACAATGACTAAGCTCCAAATTGAAGGAAAAGAGCTTGCATTTCAGAAGTCATATAGCACTTTCAATGATCCTAAGCTGCTCTCTGACAAAACAGCCCATATTTTCAACACCAATATTCTCCTGATGATTCTACATCCATGATGAATCACATCAGAATCTCTTCAGAATCAAAACATTAGGTGACTAGAAGGGGCAAGGGACAGAAGCACAATGGGCAGCACATTAATGACAACTGCTTAAGCACAAGGAGTGAAAAGCTATTGACAAGGATATATATGACCAGAAAAGGAGGAAAGTTGGTAATGTGGTGAGATCCAGGGATTAACAGACTACCTGAAGGCTGCACTAAGATCTACAAAGTATTAAAAGATCTACAGTTGGAACTCTTAACCTGGGGTCCATTGACAGATTTCAGGAGGTTCACGAACTTGGATGGAAAAAAAATTGCATCTTAATGTTCAATAACCTTTGGTTTCTTTTTCCCAATACAACATATTTGATTTTACACATTTAAAAACATTATTCTGAGAAGAGATCTATAAGTTTTACCAGACTGTCGAAGGGTTCCTGGATGCAAAAAAGGCCAAGGGTCCCTGACATAGAAGAAGGCTTCCACTGTACTAGTTAGATATTCCACGGAAGTGGAGTAAGACCTGGACAAGAATCTCAAAGAATAATGAGAAGATCTGAATGGGTTTTGATCTGCATCACCAGACAGGGAACCCACAGAGATGAAATTACCAACTAAAGTCTCAAAATACGGGAGATATTTCTTTATTTTCAACTAATGGGAATAATGGCAATCTATTAAATATGTTACACTAAGAAATCCAGTGCAGAAAGACAAAACTAGGGATGAGATCCCCTTCATAGGTTATTAATAGGCAACTGGGGCTGTAATGAATACCAAATGAGTTTCATGAACAGCAACCACAAAAAGTCCGTTGGTATCTCTGTTAAAGGCAGAACACAGGGGCAGCTAGGTGGCACAGTGGATAGAGCACTGGCTTTGGAGTCAGAAGGATCTGAGTTCAAATCTGGCCTCAGACACACAACACTTACTAGCTGTGTGACCCTGGGCAAGTCACTTAACCCCATTGACCAACCAAAAACAAACAAAAAAACAAAAACAAAAAAAAAGAACTTGGACTAAACCACTAATCTGACAAATAATAGCACTTTTTATGTTCTCATGTAAAATATTCTATTAAAATTATATTTTGTAGGGTTATGTCATATAGAACATGCTACCAAAATAAAATTTTAAGATGTGATTTTAGTAAAAGATCTTAAATGACACTACCCTAAAAGATCACTGAGTTAGGTAAAGATCTGACCTTCTTTTCTTTACACTTCCTTCAGCAACTTGTACATACCCTGAACATAGCAGATATTCAATCAAAGTTGAATATGTTTAATAGCAACAGCAGCAGTACCTCTTAGGGGCCCAACTGGCTGCCAATAGTTACCTTTGGAATGCTCTGTGTCTCTGTGTAGGACAATACGAACATACTTAAGGTCTCCAAATTGCTGGAGGATCTCCCCCAGATCTTCTTCTTCTGAGTCAAAGGACAGGTTTCTATGAAAAACAATCAAAAGTCATGTGAGAGTAACCAATCACAAATGCAAGAACCTGTATACCTGCATTGTCTGAAATGCCTCTCAAATAGCTATTTTATCTGATTGCAACTGAATTTATCAATTTTATCTGATTGAGGCTGCTAGGAAATTCAGATTTTGGTGGAAATTCTGAAAAATAACCAAAGTTTCAAAATAATAAACCTCCAGACTTAAAACACAAGATGTTTACAAGCTTACTGAAAGAAGAGAAAATAGTTCCAAATCCTTTATTTTTCTAGATAAGATTTAGAAATGTTGGAAACCATTATTTGTTTTCTAATATTTCAACACAATGTTAAAATTCCATATTTCCCCAGCTGTGCACACCCTTCCAGGAATGGAGAAAATGGGTTTTAATACAAATCTACAAAGTTTGACTTTTTCTCCTTAAGAAGCTACCATAAACTCTGCACACAATTATTTCACACAGAACAGTCCAAATGTATGTCTCAGAAAGCATTCCATACTGAGACACACTTTATTTTCTCTCTCCCCATTCTCTCCATTCTTTGTACATCTGGTTGATGCCTATACTTTCTCATATTGTTTACTATTTGAGAATTTGAAAGAAATGGTCTCCTTGGTCCAGAGACTATCTTCTGACTTTTGGGTTTTTTTTCTTCTTGCTATTCTTCATAAATTATCTTCACAGAAGTCTCAAGTAATAACAAAAGCAGAAGTCTGTAACTTTGGTTGCAAAAGGGCAGAATAAATTATAGGAAGTGATGTACATTCATTTTAGACATATTTTAACACGCACATGCTGTCTCCCCCTCCTTTTATTTGTGACAGGACAGAGATTGTTTCATTTTTGGTTTTGTACTCAAGGTGCCTAGGATAATGCCAGGTACATCATAAATGTCTCTTGATTACCTGGCACTGGTATGGAAGATAGCCTGGAAGAAGTGAGCAGAGGCAGGAAGAACCATAAAAAGGGGATTGCAATAGTTCAGGTAATGAGGTAATATAATCAGGTAATGAGGGCCTGTTCCAGGACAGCAATTGTAGAAAATGAGGAATCAAAGGATTACTTTATAGATTTAGAAAAAATAACAAAATTCCTTTGGAAGAACAAAATGTCAACATCCTCAAAGAAAATAATGAAAAAAAGTGAGAAGGAAAGGGGCCTAGAAATACCAGATCTCAAACTCTACTGCAAAGTAGTAATTATCAAAAAGATCTAGCACTGGTTAAAAGATAGAAAGGTCAATCAGTCGTACAGATTTGGTACACAATATACAAAAGGAAACAAGCACAGTGGCCTAGAATTTAGCAAACCTAAAGATCCCAGATATTGGCAGTAAAAACTCACAATTTAACAAAAACTGCTGGGAAAACCATAAAACAATCTGGTGGAAATTTGTCAGAGATGTTATAGAGAGCAATATGTCATATCACATACTAAGATAAGCTTCAAATGAGCACATGATATAAACATCAAGGGCCACATCATAAACAAATTAGAAGAGCATGGTGAAAATTACCTGTCAGGTATATGGATAAGGAAAAGAGTTCACGACCAGATGAGATAGAAAGACTCACAGGAGGTAAAATGGACAATTTCAATTACATAAAATTAAAGCATTTGTGCACAAACAAAACCAATTCACCTAAAATTAGAAGGGAAATGAAACTGGGAGAAAAAAAATCTTTGCAGCAAGTTTCTCTGACAAATGTCTCACAATATGAAATAAATGGAGAACGGATTCAAATATATAAGAGCCATTCCCTAACTGATAAATGATCAAAGGATATGAACAGATAGTTTTCAGAGGAAGAAATTCAAGCCATCAAAAGTCCTAAGAAAAATGCTCTAAACCACTAATAATTAGAGAAATGCAAATTAAACAACTCTGGGTACTACCTCCCATCCACTGAATTGGCAAAGTTGACAAAAAAGGAAAATGACAAATGCTGGAGGGGCTATAGGAAAACAGACACATTAATATACTGTTACTATGCCCCTAAAGTTTTTAAAGTGTGCATACCCTTTGACTCAGCAATACCACCATGACCTCTATACCCCAAAGAGAACAAAGAAAAGGACATATATGTACAAAAATATTTATAGTAGCTCTTTTTGTAGTGATAAAAACTGGAAACTGAGGGAATGCCCATCAATGGGAAACAAGTTATAGTATGTGAAGGTAATGGAATATTGTTTAGCTATAAAAAATGATGCAGGATATGGTTTCAGAGAAACATGGAAAGACATGCATGAACTTGTGCATGGTGAAATAAGCAGAACTAGGAGAACAATTTCTATAATAACAAGATCATAAAAACAGCTTTAAAAGATTTAAGAACTAATCAGTGCAATGACCATTACAATTCCAGAGAACTAATGATAAAACACGCTGCCTACCTCCTGACAGATGATGAGACTCAAAATGCAGATATGTATTTTTGGTCATGGCCAATTGAGAAATTTGTTTTGCTTGACTATACATATTTATTGCAAGGGTTTTGTTTTTCTGTATTTTATTAGAGCAGGAGGGGGGTAAAATGGATTTTGGTTAGTTAAAAAAAATAAGATTTAATTTTAAAAAGAAGCAGAGGGAAAGGATGTCAAAGAAGTTATAGATGTGAGATCAGAAAGATTTGGTACTGACGGGAATATGAGAAGTTAAAAGAGAAATCAAAAATAGCCAAGATTTCAAATATAAGAAGCACAGCAAACAGTGGTACCATAGAGAGAAATGATCAAGTAAGAAGACAAGGCAGGTTTAAAAAGAAAGGTGCTCATTAGCATCACCAGAAGTCCTTAGACGTTTTCTTATTTCCCCAGGCTGTACTGACTCATTTTGGACCTCTCTGGCTTCCCCACCATGCCCTCAAGTAAATATCACTGAGCAATCTCAACATTTTCCAAGATCTAATCAGCCTTGTTATCCACATCTCATCAGTAACTTCACTCCAACCTGACTACTTTTCAGCTTCCTTTTACGTGCTGTTTTCTCCCACTAAAACATGAACTCCTTGAGGATAGGAACTGTCTTTTTTATATCTGTATCCCTAGCGCTTAGCCCAGTGCCTGGTTCTTGGGAGGTGCTTAATAAATGTTTACTGACTATTAACTAGATGCTGGTCTGCGGCCAATGTGAAGGCCCTGACTAGAGACAATGATTTAGGAATCATCTGTATGAAGATAGCTGTTAGAGCTGTGGGAGTGAAGTTGCAAAGGAAAAAAGTGCAGGTAAAAAAGGAAAAGGGAGATGAGGGCAGTGTCTTGCAGAACACCTACATGAAGTAATCTGTAAGATAGAGCCAGAAAGGAGGGAAGCGAATCTGCATTCACACAGCACCTACTCTGTACCAAGCACTGTGCTAAGTGCTTTTATAAATATCATCTCATTTGATCTTCACAACAATCCTGAGGGCAGAAACTATTATTATCCCCATTTTACAGTTGAAGAAACTGAGACAAACAGAGGTGACTTCATGCACCCAGGGTGAAATCCAGTCAGAGCCAGATCTGAACTCAAGTCTTCCTGACTCCAGGCCTATCACTCTGTGCACTGTGGTATCTCTAATGAGATAAGTGTTCAAAGAGCTGGGAGGAAACCAAGTTTCTCTAAAACCCAAGGCACAGTGTCTAACAGGAGGGCATGGTCAATGGTACCAAAAACTAGGGAGGTCAAAAGATAAGGCATGAAAAAAGGAGAGTGGATTTGGGGGTTACATGTACCTCAGAGCAGTTTCAGGAGAATGATGGGGGTGGAGTGGGGTGAGTGGAAGACCAACAGCAAGGGGCGACACAAAAAAATAGGGAGTAAGGAAGTAGAGACTTTGGGTGCAGAGAACTTTTTCAAGAAGTTTAGCAGTATGGAGGAGAGAAACAGGAAGGGAGCCAGATGGGGCAGAAGGGCCACAGCAAGGCTTTCTAGGCTTAGTGAGAATGTCTGTAGGAAGGAGAACACAATGAGGAAAAACTTGAAAACAAATGAGAGAGAAGAGAAAAGCATCAAAGTCAGGCATGTTAACAAATAACAAATCCTTTCTAGCTTATCAAAAACTCTGTTTTCCATCATTTCTCAGTATGTTCCTAAGCCTCAAAGTAGGGGTATGAGTCCCATAGACATTGCCCTGCAGTGTCATTTACAACACTGATTCCGCAAGGTGGTACATTATGCCACTCTGGAAGAATACGGCCTACCTGATAAACACGGTTTTCCCCTCATTCACATCAGATGGCAACTTCCTCTTCTTTTTCTTCTTTGGAACTTCTCCATCTAAAGACAAATGAGACATTGGAACCAGTCTGCAGTGCAGGGTCTCATTACCCTCAACCTAGACAGGTTAGCACTAGCACACCGCTCCTCTTCTTTCCCATCCCCTCGTGGAAAAGGAAATTTTATTTCCCTATAAGCCTGAACTTACAACTAAAGAAGGGAGATGGACCAAAATACTTTCCCTATAAAAGCAGGGCATGGTAACTGACTCCACAGCAACTTTCGCACCTACAATGCCTCATTCCAAAAAGCTTCCAAGGTTAAATTCAACTGATTTGGACTTTCCCATGGCATCTGACATAAATGTTATAATAGGTACTGATCTTTTGTTGGCTGCCTAGACCTGTGATTTCTTTAGAATACGAAATACTCAGTAAGGAAATTCCCTTTACCAGTGTAGATGAACAGCTATTCTCAACCAATAATAATCTTACAGAACTGTCTGGTCTACTGAGAGGTTAAGTGACCTGCCCTGGGACTCAGAGCCAGTAGATGTCAGCATTAGGATTTGAACCAGGTCTTTCTGACTCCCAGCTTCCAGCCCTTTTTTCACTGTATCATTCCAGCTCTCACTGACATGTTTAGGAAGTAACGTACAGCTTTAAGAAGTGTTCCAATAGGTCTTAAATGCCTACAGCGTATATGTGGTATAGGTGTATCACCTATAGTAGCAGGTACAGACAAACATTTTGAACATCTAAGCTGTCACCCTCTGCCTGAATATTTCACTTAAGTTGGATTGTGTCCAATAGCTATTTAATGTAGGTTTTCAATTCACTAGAGAAGAATATTCACTTTCCTAACATATATATTTCCTACTCCAACCTCTTAAAAATGAGCTCTGAGTAAGGAGGTGAAAGAACATGACATAAATTTCTTCTTTTTTTTTTACGACATGGATATCTTCAAGTAAGTTTTACGCAAATACAAAGGGCCTATTTAAAGTGTGACCTAAAGTGCTGGCTCAACTTCTTAATAAATGAGTAAAGATCTGTACTCAATGCAAAACAGTTACTAGGCAAACCTCGGTCTTCTTCATCTGAATCCACCTCATTCTGACCCCACTCCTCTTCATCTTCACAGATACTTCTTTCCTCTAGGTCACTGTCTTCATCTTCCTCACTGCTCTCAGCACCCAAAGTTAACGGTCTTTTGCCTTCCCTGAAAAATGAACCATCAGCAATTAGGAATCTATGCTGGCCAAGAGGCCTTTCCAGGTTCCACCACACAAGCCAATTCTGTTTCCAAAACCAAAAGAAAGGCAGTTCCTCTCCCTAAAGATAATTGGTGAACCTTCAAACTAGAATCCTCCTTTCCGTGCTCAGAAGAGGTTTCGTTGCTCACCTCTTCTGAGTCTTCGCTGACTTGGCCACTTGTAACTCTTCTTCTTCATCTTCTTCATCGTCATCCTCCTCTTCATCCTCATCCTCCTCCTCACTTTCCTCCTCTTGACTTGCATCTTGCTGTTTGGGTTCAGTGGCTTTTTGCTCCTCACCTGTGAAGTGAAGTGAGGAATATAATGGAGATGATCTGGCACAGAAAACCGAATTGCTGCTAGGTCAGCTGTAGAGACCAATGCCAAAGCCCTAATAATAAGCCCTCCCCCAGCGGCTTTGCAAGTTTCTCAGGGTCTATTTTCTTCATTGATAAGAGAATAACTAACTGGAAGGCTAGGCTCATCATTCAACTTTTAAATTACCTCCCACTTCCTACCAAAATATTGAACATTATTCTTACTTAGAATAAAGAAAAGAGGTCTGCATCAAAATGCTTATTTTGACCTGATATAAAGCTCAAACCAAAGCTATCCTACAGTCACATAACTTACACCCCCATGAAATCTGCTCTCTGAAGCTGGTCATGAACTGAAAGTTACATGTTTTCTCATTCAATAGGGTATGGCTAAACAAATTGTGGAACATGAAAGTAATACTGTGCCATAAGAATAAATGAATATGAAAAATTCAAAGAAGCCAGAGAAGATGGATACAAAGTGAAGGAGGACCTGGAAAACATAATACACAATGATAACAGCAATGTAAATGGAAAGAACCAAAAAAGGCTCAAAAAAGTGAAAAAGCTGGGAGATTAATTATGACTACCAAGCTTGACCTCATAGAAGACATGAGAAAATACATTCCCCTCCCTTCTTTGCAGAAGGGGGACTACTAATCTAGAACATTGCATATGTTGTCAGACTCAGGTGATAGGTTAGTCAGTTTTGCTGAAATTTCTCTGTGCCTGTTTTTCCCCACAGCACTGCAATATTTGTTGTGCAGTCTCCAGGTTATGGTCTGTTAATCCCCAGATCTTACTATATTACCAGCATTTTGCTTAATCCACTTACCCAGAAATGTTGTGAATTAAGTAGATGAGAAAACATAAGAAATAAACACAACATTACAGGGTAAGTGGATTAAACAAAGAGTTGGTAAGGTAATGAGATGGGAAAGGAGATATCACTTGAGTTTTAAAGGATGGAGAGAAATTCAACAGGATTTCAAAAGGGTAAGAAAAGACATTCAAAATATCCCTTCCAGAGAACTATTAAGCCTTTACCTGAAGCAGAAGATGGTGTTGCATTATATTTATCTTTGGCCACAGCCCAATCCACAGCCACTGTCCGTCCTGCCAGATAAATAATGGACATTAGAAAGAATATTTCCTTCCTTTAACATTCCTTCTTTGAGGGGTCCAAGCTCAGCCTCCACACACAAGGAAGTGCCAGCCCAGAGAACAACTGTACCACCCTCTGAAGAAAACTCCCAGAATTGGCCTACCCTTGTTTCAACAATATAAGACACCCATGTGACCCTGGACAAGTCACTTAACCCCAATCGCCTCATCAAAAAACAAAAAACAAAAAACAAAACAAACAAACAAAAAAAAAAAAAAAAAACTCAATATAACACACCCTCCAACGACAGCTGCCCAATGAGGGCTGGAAAGAGAGAAACAGGAAATCAGAAATGTTCCCACCCCTATCACTGCACGCATCCCTTCCTACCTTCTACACCTCCAGGTTTCTGGGGAAAGGGGAAAGTGAAATGTCAGAAAAGAAAAATAAAAGGGGGGAGGGGAGCAGAAATAACACTGGACTAACAGAAGATTTGTTCAAAGTCTGTCTTTGACCCTAGGCAACTCAGTTCAATTCTCTTACCTGGAGTTTTTCTACTTGAAAAGGGAAAGAGAGGGCAAAGGATAACATCTGAACTAGCAACTTCACAGAATTGCTGGTATTTTATAAACCTTAAAGTATTGTATAAATGTCAGTTGTTATCATCAACCAATGTCTTTAGTATTTGTACACTATTAATTTAATGGGACAGGGATATTGGGACAGTACTCCAACAGCCAGAGCTCAGACTGAGAGGTCACATTGTGTCAACTGCTTTTGCTTAACAATTTGGGAATATTTTTCTTACAAGGGGATTCATTAGAGAGAGGGGTATATATGGAAATGACTATGATAAAATAAACATCAATAAATCTGAATTTTCAAAACAAATCAAGGGGGTTGGATTAAATCAACCTAGAGAAGTAGAAGACCTCCATCCTACCTCAATGCCAATTTTCATCCATTATCAATTGTTTTAGGTCCTTTGCCCAGCCAAAGTTTTTAAAACATACAGAGTAAGGACAAGCAAGAGAAAGAATATTTACAGCAACCTCAGGTACTTTCAAATTTAATCCTAAGAGAAACAGTCATCAGGAAAATGTCACCAAACTGGTTAGTACACCAACAATGAAGACTAATGTAAAATCTTGCATTTTTCAGGAATAGAATAAAATTTACTTATTATGCCAATTTATCTAAACACCAGGTATAATGCCCAGGTCTTTGGGGCAAAGCAGACCAACCTTTTATTTCTTTCATGTTCATGCCTTTCAAGGCTTTTCCTGCTTCCAACAGATTCTTGAACTGAACAAAAGCAAAGCCTCGCATTTTTCCATCTGTAAGTAGATAGGACACAGAAAGTCAATTAACTGAGCAATCAGTGTTGGAAGGTAAGGCCATAGAAACACAGGCTACAAAGATGGAAACAGAATTTCAAATTGACTAGAATTTTAAATTGGCCTCTCTCCAGATTAAAGTGGCACTCCCCCCACCAGAATGAGTTTGGCTCCTTGACCCAAGTTCAAAACAAATGATACACCTTTAAAACCATATTCCTAAGGCTAATAAAATATCTGATCTATCTTGAAATATTCAAAGGAAAAGGCAAAAACCTCATACACATGCTATGGACAGTGCCTAACATAAGAAGTCATGTGTTAGCTAAATATTTTTAAAACTTCATTCTGATTCATAAGATGAGCAGACAGGTTCATCAGTACCTGGCTTCCTAGGAATGTTCACCTCCAAGACAGCACCAAACTGAGCAAACGAGGTCTTCAGATCATCTTCTGAACACTAAAAAGAAAAAGAAAAGTAACCACAAACAAATCAGAAGCAAACCAGCTCTTGAGAATTTAGTTCACTAATATTAAGCCACTTTTCAGTTTCAAAGGATGGAAAATCAGATTTTTGGAAAGGGGGTGTTTCACTACGGAATCTATGGCAGAAAGGATAGAAAATAACACAAGATTTATTTATGAAGTCCTTCCAAAGTAGTTCTTCCTCTACATTTCATGCTCTTTATAGGTTCTCACCTAAACAGAGCCATTTTCTGACACCATAATAGCTAAGACTCATTTTTAAAAAGAAAAGAAGTCAGCACCACCATCCCAAGCAGGTGGTACCACTGACAAGAGATATGTTTCACAGGTAACATTCTCCAGCGCTCCTGACGCCCTATTTGATCACCAGACTCAGATTCTTTAGCCACTCACTCCCACCTTAAAACTTAGGTTCCGGATGATCAATCTAGCTTTTTTGTCAGCTACTTTTGGTTTTTTAGGCTTGGGCTTTGATTCTTGTTCTGGTTCTTCCTGTGAGGTCACTGAACATTCTGGAAAATAAAAGAAAGGGAGAGAAGCAAATATTTGCCCTTGATTATACAGGAAAAAAAAAAAACCAGAGGATTCCAAGCACAAGGTAACTTGGGAAGAGAAATGGTAAGATGACATTTGTCAGAGGAATGAATACCAGAACACTAAAACACTGGAGATACAGGTATTACACCTTGGGTCATGATCAACGTATTAAAGAGAAATCATCAAGACCAAAATCCAAGGCCAGGGTACTACTGAGGATAGCATCAAACTAGAACAGACCTTCCATCAAGTTACCTATGCCCAGGAACACTGGACTTCTCAATTTCAGGAGTGAATGAAGGAATAAAATGAATAGCCAATGAGACCTGGGAGAATTAGACAGTTAGAGGTAGTTTTAGAGACATTCATTTTGGAGTCTTTAACCTCTAAAGACTCTCCTAAGCCCCAGTACTTCTCTTTTCATATCATAATACTTTCCTTCATCCTAAACAATAACTGACTTCTTTTATAACTTACCCTTCTTCTCCTTTTCCTTTGTTTTGTTCTTTAGTTTTCTCTTTGCAACAATCACGTTGATCTTGCAACCTTCAAAGGTGGTAACTTCCTTGAGGGCCCTCTGAGCATCCTCCAGCATGGAAAAAGTGACATAGCCAAAGCCACGACATATCTTACTGCCTAAGAGGAAAAAAGAGGGGACGGAGGGGGGAGAAGGGAGCTATAAGCCACAAGAACATCTTCATAAAAAGGCCAGAGCCCTGCTATAAATCATATCTCAGAAAACACAACCTTTATACAAGCCAGAATTATGAAGAAAATGGAAAAGCCCTGATGAGGCAGGAAAAGAGGTATCTGGAAGACCATTTATCAAAATCAAATGATAGCTAAGGAGTGACCCCTCAGAATAAACAAAACTCAATTTCTTTTAAGGTACTATCAAAATAAACTCCCTGTATTGCTACAGGGGAAGATATCATATGCACACTATTATTAACAATTCCTTCTATAGTATACTTTTAACATTCCCATGTCAATTCATATCTATTGCCTTATTCTAAACACAAACCTGTGAGGTAGGCAAAGCAGTAATTAATACTTCTAAAAATAAAAAGAAAAAATATTTCTGTCCTGGAGATGAATAAAGTATTCTACTCTGATCTTCTGGAAGATTCATGACTTCATCAATGCAGTTGTTTCATCCCTTTTTTAAATGTTTTCATCATGTTCACATCATTCTTGTGCTTATTTTCCCATAAAGACTCCATTAAGAATCTCTTCAAGGTTCTGGAGGCTTTCATAGGATCACTGATTAGAACTGAAGAAACCCCAGAAGTCATCTGATGCAACACCTTCCTTTTAAAATGGCACACAGTAAATAGGCACTTTGATCAAGAGAGGTTAAGTAACTTGCTTAAGATCACAAAGACAGTGGCAGACCAAGGACTTTTCAAACTCAGGGCCTCTGAATCCAAATCCAACAGTTTCCCCACTATATCATGTTGTCTTCCTCTTGTTATGTTTGTGTTTCAGCAAATACCAATGTGCCACTCCATCTGCTGCCTCTCATTCTCACTACATGATCAGTTTATCCAATTATGCTTTGATAATGTCTTTTGTGCCACTTCTTACATGCTAGTTGCTGCTGGTAATATACTGTAGCCTGTTTAAACCCACCACACACATCTTTCCATTACCCTTTGTGTTAACTGTACTTTTAAATCTTTCTAAACTTGTAATAGCCTACTCTTAAGTGGCTGCTGAGGACACGCCATGATGCACCAGGGCTAAAAAGAAGCCCAAGGGAAGAGTCAAGACATAAAATGACAAAATGAAATCAAAAGGAGCAGAGCAAGAAGCAAGATGGTTCTATGGTTCAATTTAAATTTAAGAAACACATACTACTTAGTGAATTAATGAGAGCCTATTGTGAACAGTTTGTCAATTAGGCAGATTGGATTCCAATTTGATAGGCAGCCAAACAATGAAATAGATATACCTGGACAGACAGAAATGGAGGATGAAAGTCCAATCAATGTGTCCTAGCAGCATACGATGCTTTTGCCAAAAAGAGAACCTTCTATTTTATTCCAGAACTCTGCTCCCAAGGAAAACAATATGTTCAAAATTACAAATTCAAGATTTGGTTCTTCCACATCCTAACCACAGCAGTACAGTTTTATTTCTTCTTTCATTTTTCTCTCTCCTCCTCCTCATTATTTTATGGTACATAAAGTAAACTGATATATGTGCACAGTCATAATGCTAAATTGCTATATGTGCACAAGTATAATGCTTCTAGGTGTTTTTTGTTTTTTTAACTAAAGGGCCAATGGTACGTTTCAATTAAAATCACATGGATGAGAACTAGTTAAACAAATTATAGTATATAAATTTAATAGGAAAATTATTGTCCCATGAGAAATATCGAAACAGATGGTTTCAGAAAAAGCTAAGAAAACATGTATGAACTGACAGAGTAAAGTAAGCAGAACCAAGAGAACAATAACATTATAAAGAAAAACAGCTATGAAGACTTGAGAATTCTGATCGATGCAATGACAAACCCCAAAACTCTAAAAGACTAAAAGATGAAGCATACTATCTACCTCCTGACACAGGTCATAGACCCAAGGTGCAGAATGAAACCTACATTTCTGAACATGCCCAAAGTAAAAATTTGCTTTGCTCGTTAATGCAGATTTATTGATTTTTTTTCTTTTTTTTTTCCCAATAGTGGGTGGAGGAAGTGGGGATCAGAAAAAATAAATGCTTGTTATTTGGAGGGAAAAATTTTTAACCATCAAATAGAAATGGGATAAGAGAAAACCAAACTGGCTCTCTGAAAATACCCCTTTTCCCATCAATAACATGTTCATTCAGCTTTTATTTTATATTCCAATATTATCGTATTCTGATGGTTAACAAAAACAAAGCCAAAAAAAAAAAAAACCCTTGCATTCCTCGCTGATGGGATAATTTCAGGGTTTTTCTTTTATAGTAAAATCAAATACAAAGTTATAAGTCTTGGCACATAGATACATGTAGGGCAATCTGTGTTGTAGGGATAAATTACTCTAAAGAAATTGGTCCTAGTTTTCCCTTCAAATCAAGCATTTTATTTAAATAAACTTGTTTTTAAATTTTTAGAAAATTATGATGTTCTATGATTCAAAGGCATAAAGAAAGAATTGCCAGAAGAATGTTGTTGCTAAAGAAATGTGTTTTTTACTATTTGTGATAAGAGAAAGCTGGGAACAAAATGAGTACCCAATGACTGGAAACTAGCTGAAAAACACCATCTATGAATGTAATGGAATGTTACTGTGCCATAAGGAATGATAGAAATGAAAAATTTAGAGAAATAAAGGAAGATTTGCATGAAAGAACTCAGAGTGAAGAAAACAGAACCAAAAGAACAATATACATAAGAATTTAAACAGTATTTTTAAAATCTAATATAAAGGGGTAAAAAAAAAACTTCAAGTCAAATAAGTCAATTTTAGCACCATATTATTAAAGTTAAGAAATTCTTTTTTTTTTCCTATTAATAACTAATTTTCTCAGGGATAGTACTTACAAGAGAAGTGGGCAAGTCAGTCAATGAGCATTTATTATATGCCTACTCTGTGCATATAATACAAAGTGTTTGTTGGGTAGTGTCATTTGTACCAAAACAAAATTTATCAATACTTTTTTTTTTTTTAAAGAAATGAACATTTGGGGGCAGCTAGGTGGCACAACAGATAGAGCTCCAGCCTTGGAGTCAGGAGGACCTGAATTCAAATCCAGCCTCAGACACTTGACCCTTACTAGCTGTGTGACCCTGGGCAAGTCACTTAACCCCAATTGCCTCACCAAAAAAGCTAAAAAAAAAAAAAGAAAGAAAAAAGAAAAAGAAATGAACATTTGCAGTATGCTTTTTAGGTAGACTCAATGATTCTGTGCACAACTATGTGAATAAAAGAAATAGTAAGAATTCTTAAACTTAATTAGGAAGAGCAACTAGATCTGACCAAGTACATAATGAAAAAATTCATTTAAAAGTGTCCCAAAGGGAGATTTGTAAGAACTAACACAGAGTGAAGTAAGCAGAACTAAGAAAACAAAACACACAATGACCACAATAATATAAAGAATAAAAAAAAAAACAACACCAAATGGTATGTAACTATAATGACCAAGGCTGACCCCAAAGAAATGAGAAAATATTACTGTCTCCTTCCTTTCTTTGCAGAGGTACAGGACTATGGGTGAGGAACACTCCATATTCACTGTCAGACTCAGTTAATGAATTGGTTACTTTTGCTGAATTGATTTTCTTTTCTTTTTTTAAAAAATCCTTTGTTACAAAGAATGGCTCACTGGGTGAAAAGACAAACATTCAGACACGAAGTACTTACCTGAAAAAAGATATCAATGAAAATTAAGCACTTAAAAAACCACAGTATTCAAGGATTAATTCTGAAGCTATTTCAAAGAGATGAAGATTTCAGAAGAAAGGAAAAGCTGGTAAATACTGCATTTAGTAAAAATAACATAAAATAAAATAAAATAAAATAAAATAAATGAGAAGACACGAGTGCAACTTCTGACCCATGTAACCGATTTCTCATTGACATAAAATATTTACACACATATTCAGGGTATCACTGATGAAAATACTAGAAGGGAAATTTTCTGTCAATCTTCTAAAGCAGATCACATTTTTGGAATTACACAAATAAGAGATATAGAGAATATAAGATCCTACTCTATGGTTTCACTAATTTTTACAACTGCACAGTAGAAGTGCAAAATACAGCATTAAAAGTTCTCCTCCATCATGTCTTTAATACCAAAATCACAGAAGAATCATCACAAACACAACTACAGAAATTGCTTTGCTTAATTATCCATTAAGTAACATCATCAATCAAAGCAGTTAAACAGGAAGATTAAATACAGCTTAATTTAGTGGGAGAATGCTGGATTTGGAGTCAGCGGACCTGGGTTCAAATCCTAGTTCTGCTACTTATTACCTGTGTAAGCCTGAACAAGACACTTAGCTGCTCTGGGCCTCAGTTTCCTCATCTGCAAAATTAAATAATTATGTCCTCTAAACCTATGATCCTATACAGTAAAGTCCAGAAAAGGTAAAGATGTCCTATTAATGGCAAAGCTCTTCAAATGCTTCTATTTATGCTGACAACCTACTAACTCCATAAACTCTGAATACTATAAATCCCCTTCAATGAAATGGAAGTGACATAAAAGAATCTATCAATCCATTACGGAAAAAATAAAATGTATTAAAAGCATACATTGTCCAAATTATTACATTAAGCTAGATAAGCAACCAGTTGAATTGGACATCAGTATGTACACCCTGAACAAGTGTGGATAAGTTGGACTCAGAACTGAGCAGGAAAAGATCAGGCTGGAAGGGATCAGGAAAATTGAATAGTGTTGTGTTTTTTTTTTTTCAATTATCCCAAAATAAGAAACAGAAAGGATAAATGACTTGAAGTGGAGACTGTAGAAGGGAAGCTTCATGGTGAGCTCATAGCACAGTCTGGTCTCTTGATTGACAGGCCCATGATCTTTCTATTAGCCATCATTTCCTTCCCAGTTACCAGGGTGAAAAGGGGACCACCAGCAGATGAAGTAGGGGAAGAATGAAGGCACTGAAGTGTTATAATAGAAAGAGAATTGAATTTGGAGTCAGAAGACTTTTGTGTGAATCCCAACCACTATCTACACAGCCTGAGCAATTCAATTAATCTCTCTGAGGGTCCTCAGCTTCCTTATCAATTGGGAGGGAGAGAGCTGGATGAAATAATCACAAAGGTCTCTTCTAGTTCTAAATACCATTTGTAATATTTATTAGTGTTTCATGCAAATTATGACATAAAATTTTCAAATTAATTTTGGTGATCAATAAACTAAGTATTGTATGTCATTTTAAAGATGATATATACTCATATTTGAGGGGCAGAGCGATGGAAGTGGGGCAGAGTGCTGGGTGTAGAATCAAAAAAACCTAAGTTTAAATCCAGCCCCAGACACTTGTTAGCTGTGTGACCCTGGGCATGTCACTTAATCCTGCTGGCCTCCGTTTTCTCATCTATAAAATGATCTGGAGAAGGAAATGGCAAGCCATTCCAGCATCTTTGCCAAGAAAACCTCAAATGGGGTCATAAAGAGTTGGACATGACTGAAAGGACTGCCTATTTGCAGTTGACACTTTAAGTTGAGATAAGCTTCTACTCCTTTTCCTCTAAAAGGATGAAAAGAAGCTGAAGAAGTTTCTAAATTCCTGTCTAAAAAATCATTTTGTCCAAAAGTCAACTCTGTCAGAAAGGTACAAACCACATCATTTTGTCTAACATCAAAAGTAGAAACAGAATTCAAAGGCACACAACCTCCTTTTCCTACACTACATGCTACAAGCACTACACACTTATCCTATACAAGATCCTTGAAAACAGGAGATTGACCATGTAATCCAATTAAATCTCATACCTGGCAGCTCAGCATAGGAGTATGTTTCCTTTCCATGTGAAGACATTCATATGTTAATTTGTCTTTTCACCATTAAGGAAACAGGATCAGAAGGATCAGAACCTGTTCCACTTAGCACAGAGGATAAAAGTACAGGGAGAGACAGGAAGCTGTCCAGCTCCATGTGAGGAGTTTCATGGCTTTGGAAAAAGTAACAAAGTAACAAAAACCTCTGCTGAGGTTTTTGGTCTGGTATTTAACACACATGGTAAAATCTGCCCCCATATTTAAGACGTGTTAAAGAATTATTGCTCATGCACATCTAATGGGTTATTCTTCCTGGTACAAAGAGAAAGGGGGGAAAAAAGCAACACATTGACACAGGGCCTTGATTTCCAACCTCTGGTTGAGATCCAAATTAGGGTTGACCTATCAACATTTGTTATGAACTTCCTATGTGCTAGCACTGGGCTAAGCACTAGGTCTTTGTCTTACAGGTTCTTCTGGAAAAGAGGAAAAAAAAAACCTCCTCGGAGAAGAAACTGACCATATCTGGCCAACATTATTTCCCCGGCTATATACAAGGTAAATAGATTAAAGCCCAAAGGCCAGAGGCTCCACTCCTTACCAGGCACACAAAGAAAATGGAGCCAAAGCCACAAGCGGAGGGTCAAGACCCTACTACTGCAAACACCAATTCCTTCTTTTCAAGTTATTACAGGAGCAGGGGCAGCTAGGTGGCACAATGGATAGAGCACCAGGCCTGGAGTCAGGAAGATCTGAGTTCAAACCCAGCCTCACACACTTGACGCTTAACTGTGTGACCCTGGACAAGTCACTTAACTCCGACTGCCTTGCCAAAAAAAAAAAGGCAAAGCTATCACGAGAGTATAACATAAATATACACGAAGAATAGGAAAAAATAAAGCACATTTCTGCAGTTTCAGGTAAGACTGTATGGAAATACACCATGAAAACCAAAAGCCCAGGATTTATTCAGCCTGTGTGTTGCAGCCCCACTCCTTCGCTTGTGCAAGTCCGTCCGTTTGTCTGTACGTCTGTCTCTCTCATCTCTCTATCTCTCTGTGTCTCTGTCTCTCTCTCCTCTCTCTCCCTCTCCTCTCCACGCCCCCCCCCAAGCCTTTCCTGCTCACCCATCCCATCCCTCTCCCCAGCCCCCTAACAGGGCCCCTAGGATTTCAGCCGTCCCGGACCCCTGGCGGTGGGGGGGAGGGGGGAGCGAGACGCCCCCCCTCCAGTCTGGAGACGCCCCCGCAGCTCCCCACCTTTCTCGGTGACCACGAAACACTGCTTCACGGGCCCCACTTGACTGAAGAGACGCTCCAGCTGCGGGCTGCTGGCCGAGGCCGGGAGGCGGCCCACGAACAGGGTCTGTCCCGCCATCGGGCCTAAAGGCTGGCTCTGCGCGTGTTCAGACCCTCCAGGGAACCGTCCGCGGAACACGCGCACCGGGATGGGAAGGGTTCAGCGTGCCGGCTCCGCCATCTTGGCCGCGAGCCGGACCGGAAGAGCCCAGGCGAGAAAGGGGTCCGGGTGAAAGCGCGGAGCCTGGGAGAAAGCAGTTCCGGCAAGGCCTGGGCTGGCTCCTAGGCTGCCCCGAGGGGGCGTTGACCTGACCCTGCGCTGGGAACAGTTCCCGCCCCAGCCTCTCTGGTGTGCTCCAGTGCTTGCGCCCCCTGTTGGATCGGAGCATTTTTTTTTTCCTCCCTAGTACCTAAGTAACTGACGACTCCCTGAGCTCCAGCGTATATTTCCACCCCAGGTTGCATGGATGCCATGTGGCATCTGGTCACCCAACCCTGCTCATGGGAAGAACTAGGAAGGACCTTAAAGGTCAACATCCCCTTCCCTAGAAGGGGAAACTGAGGCCCAGAGAGATTGTCTTGTCCAAGGACACAGAGGGAGCATCTGGCAGAGCATGGATTCCAACTTGGGTCCTCTGACTCCCAAATTCAGGGATGGCAAACCAATTATCCAATGGACCCAATGGACAATAGGATCCATGGGGTCAAAAAGAGTTGGACACGACTGAATGACTGAAGGACAACAAGCTTTACTAAAGTCAAACAAGAGGTGGGAGTTGGACCCATACCCATGGCACACAATCTCACAGTGACAATATTTGGAGGAGGCATGTGATAAAGTGGAACAGCACCGACTTTGAAGAAAACTGGGGTTAAAGTCCCATCTGTTATATTTAACTACCTCTGTCACCTTAGGCAAGTTACCCTCCCAATGCCAAAGTAATCAGTAAAATGAGACAGTTGGGCTAAATGGCCCCCAAGGCCCCTTCCAACTTAGTTCTATGCTCACCCTCCTTATCACAGATATTTGCAACTTGTCTGGCTATTTATGAGATTGCACAAAGTATATGTTTGGTTGGTAGGTGGTACATATTGATTTTTGTTTTTACATACCCTACATCTTCTAATATATCTCTCCCCCTTTCCCATTCCTTATGTCAAAAAGTAAAAGAGAAAAATGGAACAGTTTTTACTTTTTTTTTTAATAGAACAGTTTAGGAAAAATATACACCAACTAGGTTGAACATTACATGCAGTGTTCCCTATTCATAGTCTCCTACCTCTGCAAGGAAGGAAGGAAGATGCATTGAACCAAAGTATTTAAAATGTAATAAAAGGAAACCTCTCTTGGCTTCAGTTTCCTCCTCTGTAAAGTGATGGGGTTGGATTAGATCAGAGGTTCTTTCTTAACCTTTTATTTTTCTTTTGAGGCAATCAGGGTTAAGTGACTTGCCAGTGGTCACAGAGCTAGTAAGTATCGGAGGCTGGACTTTAACCTTTTTTTATGTCATGGATCCCTTTCAGTCTAGTAAACTCTATAAACTCCTCAAAATAATGTTTTAAACGCACAAAATAAAATACACAGACATACAAAGGAAAACAATATACTGAAATAGCCATCAAAATATTTTTTAAACAAGTAAACTAGCCACCAAATTAAGAATCCTCAGATTAGATGATCTCAGAAGTTCTTCCAGTTCTAAATGTAGGATCTTATGACCAAACCTCTATTCAGATGCTATTTATTCAGAGAAAAGCACACGATATGTGAAACAGATGTTTACACCTATTGACATAATCACAATCAGAATAAGAAGAGATGGACAGACATGGACTTGAGTGAGATAAAGGAGATGAGGTTAGCCAGATATTCTACATGCATGAGAAATCCCCAGCACACACACACACACACACACACACACATGAATTAGCCCTCCAGCACTGAATAAATGAAGCATTTATTAATTTCTTACTATGTCCAAAGCACAATGCTAAGCACTGGAGAAACAAACAGAAAATACAATCCCTGCTCTCCAGGAGCTCACGTTAGGTTTCAGCTGTAAGTCAGATGGAACAGTCCCATGATCTTGAGGGTGCCAAAGCAAAGCAGATGTTAATACCTCTTCTTTAATGTCATTTCCACTGATGAAATCATATCAAATCATAGGGAATGTAAAAAAAAAAGATACTAAAACAAAAAAGCAAATACTTTGGTTTAGAGTCTCATAAATAGCCTTTTTTTTTCACTTGTGCATAAATTGGATTTAAGTGAGGCAGAGCTGCATGAAGTTATCAACCTCACTCTCTCTTGCAGAGTCATCAAAGTCCAGCGGCGGGACAAAAGGCGAGAGGCCTGGGATGAAATAGGGGCACCTAGGTGACGCAGTGGATAGAGCACCAGTCCTGGAGTCAGGAGGACCTGAGTCCAAATCCTACCTCAGACACATAACACTCACTAGCTGTGTGACTCTAGGCAAGTCATTTAACCTCAATTGCCTTGCCAAAAAAAAAAAAGAGGCAAGAGGCCTAGGATGAAATGGATGAGCATGGCTTCTTCAATGCCTGACCAAGCTCTAAGCACTCTACAACACCTACTTCAGCTGCCTTCATGGCCGTTGGAACAAATTGTTCTCATCTGCCCATTGTTCACACACTTGGTGTGACAACCCCCTAACTCACCCACAAGTTTGAGGCCTGTGGGTTAGCCCATATGCCACGATGGTTTTGTCAGGGTGCGGCTGCTGCATGTGTTACAGCTTTTTGAAGCCACAGGTGAAAGGTGGGTGGCAGGTGGACACCAAAGGTGGATAAGCAGCCTTGAAAGGGGCTTAGCAGCCCTCACACCAGAGATGCCAGTCCTCCTGAGCACCCCAATAAATAAATAGCCAGACAGCCTGCAGATGTTGAACCATTTGGCAGCACAGTAGATAAAGCACTAGGCCTGGAATTAGGAAGGCCTGAGTTACAAATCTGACCTCAGACACCTTCTAGCTGCATGACCAAGTCACTTAACCTCTGCCTCAGTTTCTTCGATTGCAAAATGGGGATAATAACAACACCTACCTCGAGGGTTGTTATGAGGATCAAATGAGATAATATTGGTAAGGCACTTCATGAATAAGCATTAATATGACACATACTAGGAGCTATAGAAATGTTTATTCCCTTCCCCACTGAGGACTTTGATGACAAGAACTTTTCTGGGTCTTCAGCAGCCGTGGCTGTAGCACCTGCAGCAGCAGTTACCAGGCTGCATTTCCACATGGGTTGCTTCCCAGGATGATGACTGAGGGCACTGGGCTGGAAACACTGCCAGTCACAAGGCTCTAGGATTCAGGGTCCTGGGCTGTCCCCATAGGGGTCTGAGGGGAGATGCTGATCAAGGTGGAGGGGGTTCTGATTTGACTAACCTGGCACATGTGCATCCTTCCTGTCCCTCAGGGTGCCTTACTGCTTTAGCTAGTTTGACTTGACTGCCATGTGTGTGGGGGGGGGGGCAGCTGCTGGGGGTATCTCAACTCATCTCCATGGGAGAATTGCTTATCCAGATGATGGCTCTGAGAGCTGGGCTGGAAGTAGGCTTGGTGCTCTGGGGTGGACTTTTCTCAGGGCTCGAGTGCTTAGCTGCCTTTTGGTGGAAGTTGGTCAGCAGCTGTTGCTGGTGATGAAGGGAAGATGGGCCACCTCTCCACAATGATTTCACCACTCAGTGATGGCTGTGGGAGCTGGGACAGAAGCAGGTCTCCTGATTTAAGAGGTAGTGCTAACCTAAGACCCTTAGATCCAAGATCCTGGACTGTCTCCATCAGGGCCTGAGGGGAGATGATGGTCAAAATGGTAGTGGTGGTTTGAGGCCTAGAAGCTCAAACATGAGGCTTCTGAAACCCGAAACAGCGACTTTTCTGTAGTCTCCACTACCTTGAAAGACCAGAATCAGGCCTGGAAAAATGATTATGAGTTGGCATATTCCACATACTGCCCCTATAGTGCTTAGCATAAAGCCACCATAGGCCCTATTGGCTTGCCTCTTCTTTAAAAGACATTGCAATATTGTCCATCAGAGGGCAGTAGCCACCCATAGGAGAGCACTGTAGACGCCCAGAGACTGACACATCACAACTGATTCTTCTGTATTTCCCGAGTCAGGCAGAGGACAGCCAAGCTCTTCGTCTCAATCCTCAAAGTCACTTGCTTAGCCTCACCCCTTTCCCCTGCTGCTTCACTTCTGGCAGAACAAGAGGCTCACTCAATTGGGAATATTCACTCATAAATCTCCTCAGGACACATGCAGGGTACTTTTATTAAATAGCAGCAGCAGCAGCAATACCCCAGCCCCACACCAATTCTCACCAGGCTGCCAGGGGAAATAAATGGTGAGCTACCTTCCCATCCATCATCATCTAGGAGTAAAACGGACTGGCAGAGACTTTCCCAACCATCCCCTTCCAAAGTCATAATCTTCCATCTATTCCCCTTTGGAAACCTAGGCTGGTTTGACCCATATTCTAAGTCTCAGACAGTTTGGGGCAAAAGAGTCCAGATTGGGACACAAATCAGACACTCCTCTTGAAAAGCTTCTCTGGGCAGGAAGCCGGGATTATGACCCAAGAGTGAGCTAAGGGAGGCAAAACAAAGTGCCTCTGCCTCTTGATTGGAGTCAATGAAGTTAGGAGAGTTCTTGCTGAGGTGACAGAAAAAAAAAAAGTGAGAAGATTTAACGTTCATAGATCTCAGAAGGAATCTCAAAGATCTTTTATTCCAACCTCTCAATTTTTTCAGATGAGTAAATTGAGGTCCAGTGAAGTCAACTAACTTGTCCAAATCAGGATCATACTGTTTGGTGCCCCCAACCTAGATTGACCCCTCTCTTCTCTATCATTGTCCCCATCCATCATCTTTTACCAGGGGTTCTTAACCTTTTTTGCGTCACGGACCCCTTCTCAGAATGTTTTAAAATACACAAAACAAAATAATGAATTATATTGAAATTGTTATCAAAATGTATTTTTACATGCAAGTTAAGAACTCCTGTCTCTTTGTATGACTAAGGAAGGAATGTATGTAACAAATTTACTGCTAGATTATAGACTCCCTGAGGGCAAGGGTTTTGTTTTACTCTTTTTTGGATCTCATCCAGCACCTCTACAGGGTGCTTGACACTTAAAGGGTGCTTGATAAATACTGGTCTAATTGAATTTGTGAGTAGGTAAGGGAAAAGGGCTAAAGGGAAAGAATACCTGAAATAAAGTACTTCCTGTAAAAAAAAAAAAAGTGAATGAATGCCCATATACCTAAACTTTGGAGGAGCCTGCCCTCATCTGTGAAAGATACTGACCAAGATAAGAACTGGGAGGAGACCCGAGGTGAGGAGTTAAGAACTGGAAAAGAAGAGGAGGACTGAAGACGGTGGGAAGTGGGGATCAGAGAAGCTTTCTCTTCATTCAAAATCCATTCTCTTAATCAAAAGCAGCTGAAACAAACCAGCAGCCCTGCTCTGCCTCTGCTACTATCCGGGTGAGAAATGCCTGTAATTCAGGGGCTGGCAGCTTTCTGGGTCCTAGGCCAAAGTAAAGCTGCAGCAGGATGTCTGAGCCAAGCCCTCACTCATGGAGGAGTCACAGTCCTCACTCCCCCACCCCCTCCATCCCTATCTGTCTCTATCATCCCCACCCCCAAGCACTGTTGCTCAGCATTCACCCCTTTGCTGACACCTCCCTCTGAGAGAACCAGGCCAGAGCTCTGCGCACCTCTTGTTCAAGGCAGATCTTTATCCGTAGAGATCAGGGCTCTGACTCTTTAATCTCATTCCTCTACTTCAGAGAGATTCTCTTCCGTCTTCCCCCCCCCCCTTTCCTTCCATTTCTCAAAGCCTACAGGAAGGAAAACAACTTGAATTCCTTTTTTTCCCATTCCTATGTATGCACCCTACAAGGCCTTTGGCCTTAACTAACTATGTAAACATGCGTGTTGTGTGTCTATGTGTTTCTGCCCTGATCCTGAAGTCTTTATTCAGGAGCATTGCTAGATTTTCAAATCGTGCTATATGTCTGATCCATAATTCTAATGTCATCAGATCAACCATATTTATAGTGCACTGAAGAAACAAGTCAAGATGTCCTTGTTAACTGTATTTCAGGAAAATACCAGATGGACCTTGCTCCAAAAACACTGATCCTCCTAGCAATATAGAAATTGTAGTATACCTTGCAGCTATATATTTGTATGCCTCTGTGTCTTTCAGCCTTATGACTTCTGTCCCATTGGTGAATGCGAAAAGAAGTTAAGAGAGAGGGTAATGCTGTCCCTGAGAGACAGAAAGAGAAATGCCCCCACAATCCTCTAATATATCTGTAGGTGGGAAGGAAGAGTGTTGCCACACTGGTGCTTATACTACTGTTGACATGTAAAGATATAGGAACAGACATAAGTCACTTATTTTTGTCTTAACATATATGTACACTGGTTGCCACATGGCATAATAGAAAGAGTTAGGAGGGAACTTATTTGAAGCCCCACCTCCAGCTAGATGTGTGACCATGGAGAATTCTCCTAACCTTGCTGAGCCTCAGTTTCTTCATCTGCAAAATGAGGATAACAGTACCTCACAGAATCATTGTGAAGACCAAATGAGAAAAATTCATGCAAAATGATTTGTAGACCTTAAAGTCCCAGGAAAATGCCAGCTATCATTAGGGAGAAAAGAACAGTTGTCACAAGGGTGAGGGATAACAGGATAAATTGGTGCCTTCACCATGTAAGGAGAAATCAAAAAGGTTTCTTGGACCCCAAGTAGAGAACTTTATGGGAACTTCACAAAGGATGGACAGTCACGAATAAGTTGTTATCTGTATCATTGATGGGGAGAGAGAAACTTCCAAAATCAATGAGTTCACAGATTAGAGGATTCCTAGTAGCAGAAGCAGGAAATCTCAATCCCAACCCATCAAATTCTCTGGTGATGCCCATGGACCTAATCCTTTCCTGTTCTTAAAGTGCTTTTGAGGGGAGACTGTCAGAACCTCCTGGTATTTACAGAGCTCCTGTTGGGTGCAGCCCTAATTAAGCAATGATGCATGACCCCAAAAAGGATGGTCATTGCCTTCTAGAATTGTGTTTCTGTCCCATCTCTCAGTCCCCATGCTAATAGGGATCAGGCCTTTGTCTCCTACAAGAAATTAATCTCCCAGAATCAGACCCTGTGGGGCAATTAAAGTAGATGAGCCCCAATCTGTCATCCCCATATGGACAGTCAGGAATTCCTCAGGAAGGTGTTTCCAGGAACAACTGGGGCCACCAGAAGAAACTCCAAACCCAGTTACGAGCTCAGGAGTCAAGAGTGGTAGAGCCAGGGTCCAGGATAAAACTAATAATTGCCTTTCTTCTCTCAACACATGGTGCTGCCACCACCACCCCTGCCCCCATACTTCTCCCAATTAATCAGATGCATCTCTTCAGAAAATATTTTATTGATAAATTAACTCTAAAAGTAGCCACTTTCTTCCCGATGGGTCAACAGTACCATCCATGGGGGAAGGAAGGGCAGGAAAGAGGTGGGACCCATGTCACACACACACACACAAGCTATGGAATCCCTGGGAAGGCAGAAGTGGGGGTAACAACTGACATAGGGGTTCTGAGAGAGCAGCCCCCTACCACCACACTTACCACCCTGAGTGGAACCCAGGGTTGTCAAAAGGAATGGAGCACCTTGGAACTTTATTGCTGGTGAATCCAAGGAGAGTCAGACTCTGCCAGGCTGCAGTTGCCCATAGGGTGGGCATTAGGCATCAGTGCCCGGGGCTGCAGAGGAGAGGCCATTCTGGTGCCTTCCTCTGGTAGGCCCCATTCATGGTATTAAGCCCCAACCCACTTATCCCCAGGGGACGGAAGGGGTGTTTGAGCCAGGCAGGATTGGGGAAGGGTTACAGTGTACAGGTCATGGGCAGTGCAGGTGCCTGGAGGAACAGGGCAGAAAGAGGACAGCAAAGGAACTGCCCGCCTGGCCTCTCACAGATCTATGGTTTCACTGCTGATGCTGAGCTCATCAATCTGTCGGCAAGCATCCAGGAACTGCTCCTGGAGCAGGGCTTCTTCCCTGGCCAGCTTTGATCTTTCTGGAGAATTGCAGGAGGGCAGGGATAGTGCCCTATAGCACCCAGGGGCAGGGGGACTGGAGCTACTCCCTGAAGGTCGGGGGGTGCTGCAGATTCCTGCCAAAGAAGATCGAGGGGGCTTCTCTGGGCTGGAGCAGAGCAGCATGGATGAGCTGTCCCTGGAGAGTCCATACAGAGAGCCCGAGGAGGCGCTGCTACCCACCAGCCAGGCCCCAGGGGAGGGAAGCACAGGGGCTGGGGAGGTTGGCTCTTGCCCATTGACGACATTTGGCCCCGTCCCAGAACTATCCTCACTGGAGGTGGTTCCAGTGAGGCTAGGCCCTGGCAGGGTCTCCCTAAAGACAGGACCCTGGAAAAAGCTTGGAGTGATTAGGACCTCACTGCAGAGGGCCTCCGCAATGCTCCGGTGCAGGTCGATGGGGGAGGGGGGGCAGAAGTCCACAGTGCAATCACTGCCGGTGCCTGGGGAAGAAGCTGCTGAGGGGGCTGTGTTGGCAGCCACCCCCTCAATGCCCAGGTGGCCACTGCCTGGGAGGAGAAGGTCAGGACCTGGCCCAGTCAGGGCACACAGAGGCAACAGCTCAGCCTCACCCTGTTCAATGGCGTTTCCTGGGGGCACCTTGTTTTGGGGCCCTGATTCCCAGCCTGATGGCAGCAGTGGGGCCCCGTGACCTGGGGACAAACGGAACAGCTTGGCCCAGCATCTCTGGGAAAGCCGAGGGCTGCAGAGCACTGGGTAAAGCCCCAACAAGGCTAATGGTAGAGCCACACCAACCTCACCCAGCCGCAAACCCAGCTGGAAAGCCCACCAGGGCCAGGGCCCTGCCAGGCCCAGCTGGCCTCCATAGCCCAGAGTGTACAACACCATATAGCCCTGGAGTCCCCCACTTAGCAGGCCAAAGGCCCCTGCCACCGGGGCTGTACGTGCTGCCCATTGCCATGACTGAGGCAGGGCAAAGGGGCCCTGAGTCAGTGGAGTTGGGGTGGGACCCTTGAGACCAGCACCCCCCAGAGGGACCCCTGGCCTCCGTCGGCTCCTCCAGCAGGAGAGAGCTAGTAAGAGTCCTGAGAAAAGGGATGCCAAGAGAGCAGCAAGGCCCCTGGAGGCTAGCAGAAGGGGGAAAAGGGGCCTTGAGATGGCTCCAGCCATAGTGGCCCCCACAGAGAGGCCCAGCACCAGGAGGAGCAGGGTGGCCAGGCCCCCAGGGCAGCGGGGCGGCTGGGGGCGGGCCAGCAGCAGGCAGGCCAGCCCCAGACAGGCAGATAGGCAGGGCAGAGACAAGTCATGCAGGAGCAGACGGACCAGTGCAGGCAACCTCTCTCTGTGCCCATAGGCATCATAAAAAAGAGGGAAGGCCCGGGCAGCTCCAGCCGAGAGCAGAAGTAAATTGAGTAGAGCTAAACAAGGGGCTCCTGGTGGGCAACGCCAAGGCAGGAGAGCCAGACTCAGCAGGGCCAACAAGGCCACCAGCCCAAAGAGCGCACCCACCCCATACACATGGGCCTCCCATGCCAGCCCCCACCGGGCTCGGGCAGAGGCCCAGTCAGCCTCTAGGTTCAGAAAAATTGGGGGTAATGGAGCCAGTGGAGGGAGATCCTCAGGTTCAGGCAGGTCCATGGTGCCACAGGCTTCTGACCCACACTCTGGCTGTGCTGATGAGGTCCTCAGGCTGGTTGGAGAAGGGTCATTTGGGGTGGGAGTGATATCTACAGACACAGGAGACAGATTATTAGTAAAGCCACCATGCTGCCAACTTCCAGTCCACTAAGTACCCAGCTTAGGTGCTTTACCCTAATCCAGGGGTGGGGAACCTGCAGCCTCAAGTGAAGTGAACTTCACAGTTCAAGTTTGGATTCAGTAAAAGGGCCATACTTGAGGACTTAAAGGGCCACATGTGGCCTCCAGACCTCAGGTTCCCCACCCCTGACCATCACTAGAACAGACGGAATCTGTCAGTCCATCCAGGACCTTTCCTTTCCTTCCCTTGAAATCAGACCCTTGGGGCTACTCCCCAGTCAAACAAGCAAGCAAGCATTGATTAACTACCATGTACCAGGCTTTGTGGAAAGCCACGGAGAGAACAAAGTCAAAAACGAAACCTTGCTTCCCAGTGCGCTATCTTACCCTGTGGTGCACTGTCTACTCCTCAGGCCTCACTTCTCCCTTGGTTCCCAACCCCTTGTCTCCCAGGTCACATTCAAACTCATCACCCCAGACTTTTAGCCTTGTCCCTGCCCATCGTCACCTGCATAGTGCAAAGGAGCTTTTTCACATGGAACCGGAAATGTTTGAGAGGGATGAGACTTTTGAGGATCATAAAAGGATCTCAGCTCTAAGGCTAGAAGGAAACTCATTTTATAGATATGAAATCAGACACCCAAGGAAGTTAAATGAGTGGTGTCAAATTCAAACAGAAACGGGGCCATTAAACCATACATAAAAATCCCTGTGGATTTTTGTATTAAAATTTTCAATGTTCTATTGCATTTTTATTTATTGTATTAAATATTTCATTTACATTACATTAAATAATTCAATTATCTCTTCATCTGGTTAGGCCTGCGCCTGTGCTCAGGAGCATGATGCCGGAGTGTCCTACGCCTCTGGAGTAAATCACTCCCCTGAGATTTCCAAGATGATAATTGTCAGAAGCAAGATCTGAATCCACATCCTCTAACTTCAGAGTTGGTTCTCCATCCAGTACTTCTTCCCACCTCCTCCTAATTTTACAGCTCAAGAAACCAAACTGAGTTCTGAGACCCAGACCAGACTTGTCCACTAGTTAGAGGCAGAGCTGGGATTAGAACCCAAGCCCCCTGGGCTCTCCACTGAGAGCTCTTCTCACCCTAGAAGAGTATCTCTCATAAAGGTTTTCAGAAGAGTACCTCAGGCAGCTAGATGATACGGTGGATAGAGCACCAACCCTGAATTCAGGAAGACCTGAGTTCAAATCTGGCCTCAGACACTTGACGCTTACTAGTTGTATGACCCTGGGCAAATCACTTCACCCCATTGCCCCTTCCCCCTCAAAAAAAAAAAAAAGGAAGAGCATCTCTCATAGTGGTTTTCTTTCTTTGAAGCAACTTTTACATCTCGTGTTTAGGATCACACAGCTAGTAAGTATCTGAGGCTGGATTTGAACTCAATGTCCTCCTGATTCCAGTGTTAATGCTCTACCCACTAAGCCACCTAGCTGCCCCAATTGCTTTCTTCTCATCCCTTCTTCTGCACTATCCCCAGAACACAAAACAGCCTCTTCCCCGCCCTTCCCCTTAATGTTCTTATCTCCTCAGGAAAGCTCCCTCATTCCCCTCCCCCTCCCCCTTGCTAGTCATTCCGGTAACCCTGGGATAGATAGACGTTTCCCCTCCCCAGAGCGTTCTGATAACAGCACAAACTCTCCTCATTCTCACTTGCCACTCACTCCCACTGAACTCTCAACCATCCCAGGGTCTCACCTGGTCTTTCCGGCAACCACTACAAAGAAGACAAGGCGTTAATCCTGGAAAGTTTTCAGGACTGGCTAACAGAACTGGGACCATTTTACTGAGGAGGAAACTGAGATCGACTCTTCTGTGTCCCCAGCCTGATTTTCCAGGAGGAATAACTGGGGAGGGGGTAATGGGAAGGAATAAGAGTCTAATTCCCTAATCTCTTCTAAGTTGACCAGCTCTGCCCCTCAGCACCCTGCTTGTGTTCCCAGAATTCCAGGTCCCAAATTCTTGGGAGGTGGGAGTAGGGAAGGGAATAAGCATTTATATAGTGCCTACTATGTGTGCCAAGGCCTCGGAAACCAGGAATACCTAGGCTGGAGTCCAGCCTCTGACCCACACTGGTTGCCTGACTATGTGCAGGTCACAACCTTTGAGTGCTGAGGGTAACTATCTTAAAGAAGATGCCTACACCAATGAAATCCCAGGTTCAGCAGGAGGCAGGGCTGTTTTGTGTCTGGGAAGCTGCAGAAATAGAGATTTGAGAGGGATCAGGAGAGGACACTGGAAGGTGTGATCACCCATCCTCCCAGCAGGCTTAGCTATACCATGGTCAAAAAAGATGAAAGACAGGGACACTAGGGGAAGGGATGGAGGAATGGTGTGGGACTGACAGGAAGCAGCTGTGAATAGGAATGGGGAGGGGTACGTTGGCCACTGGACTCATGACGCCAACAGCCTGGCCAGTCAAAGTTGGACAACCCAAGGAAAGCCCCAAGAACACACCCGAGGCTGCTCTAGAAAGAACTCTTGGGACACATCCAGTGTTAGGGTGCTCAGGAAAAGGAAGGGAAAAGGCAGGGATCTGAGAAAGAACCTGGAGAATGAAAAAGGGGGAAAACTGGAGAGGTGGCAAGGGGTTAAGAGTTAGAAAAGTCAGGAGGAAGGTGATTAGGGCAGGTGACAAGTGAGAGAGCTGGACAGGTGGGAGGAGAGAGGAATTGAGGGGTCAGGAGGGGTGAGAGCTGGAGAGATCAGAAGGGCAAATATACACAGTTCAATTCCAGCTGCACGATGGAAGCTGAGAGTCCTCTGGGATCTCTATTTAATCCCATTTCCTAAATCACTCCCTCTTTCTAACTCAGCCCCACCCTCTGCCACATAGATAGCTTAAATCTACAAAATGTCTAATACTCATCACCCATCAGCAAAATCAGTAGCTTGTGTCTTTAGTGATCCATCTGGTGTTTTATTTAACTGAAGGCTGCTTTTGAAAAAGGCTTGCACCTCAGAAAGGTGCAAGACGCAGAAGAATGAATACCGGATTGGGGGCCAGAGGGTCTGGGTCAGAATTCTGATTCTACCATTTACTCCCTATGAGACTTTGGGAAAGTCATTGAATCTCAGTCTCCTTATCTGTAAAATAAGAGGACTGGCCCCTCATCAGGGGAAAGGGGGGACCTCTGATGTATTTATTTAGTGACTCCTGCATTTGAGAAGAGAGATCCTCAAAGTCTACTTCTTTCTTCCCTGGTTGCTGAACTATTATGTGGGTACAAATTCTTATTTACTTGCAAAAAAAAAAAAAAGCTCAGGGAAAGGGGAGAAGGGAGGTATAGAACCCAGCTTTTTTTGATCCTAATTTAATACCTGACAGAAAATTAGTAACTATTAACTCAAAACAATTCATTTTTTTTTTCCATTTGCATGATCTGTAGTTACACTGACATGGCAAAAGTTCTCTGCCCCATCCTGTTTTCTTATGATGAGTTCTCAAAATTGCAAATACATCACTTAAACACTGAAATTTATCTTTCATCTTTATCTAGTTCTTTAACAATATATCTACTTATTTGGAACTACACCCAAAGGGCTATAAAAATTTGCATATCCTTTGACCCAGCAATAGTACTTCTAGGGCGGTATCCCAAAGAGATCATAAAAATGGGAAAAGGACCCACATGTACAAAAATATTTATAGCAGCTCTTTTTGTGGTGGCAAAGAGTTGGAAATTGAGAGGATGCCCATCAATTGGGGAATGGCTGAACAAGTTGTGGTATATGAATGTAATGGAATACTATTGTGCTATCAGAAGTGATGAGCAAGAGGACTTCAGAAAACCCTGGAAAGACTTGCATGGACTGATGCTGACTGAAGTGAGCAAAACCAGGAGAAGGTTGTACATGGTAACAGCCATGTTGTGCAGTGACTAACTTTGATAGACTTAGTTCTTCTCAGTAATGCAAGGATCTAAGACATCTCCAAAAGTCTCATGATGGAAAATGCTATCCACATCCACAGAAAGAACTATGGAGTTTGAATGAAAATCAAAGCATACTATTTGTTTTTTTTTCTTCTGTTTTGTTTTTTTCTCTTTGTTGTGGTTCCTCCTATTGGTTCTAATTCTTCCTTACAACATGACTAATGTGAAAATATGTTTAATAGGAATGTATATAGAGAGCCTATATTAGACTGCATGCTGTCTTAGGAGGGAGGTAGGGAAGGAGTGGGAGAAAAATTTAAAACTCAAAAGCTTATGGAAGTTATTGTTGATAACTAAAAATAAATTAATTAATAAAAAAATTATATATCTGCTTCTTCCTACAAAGAACTTTGTATTACCTTTTGTTGTATGCAGCATTGCAAAAATAAGGAATAAAATTGATAGGCAAAAAAAAAAATGGCCTCCAAGCTCCCTCTAAGTTCTAAAGCTACAATCTCATGATTCTAATTAACCAAGAATAAACATGAGCATACATGGCTTTATTGAATTCAACAAATGCCATTTGGATGTGCTTAACAGTCTCTAATGAAGGTACAGGTGCCTAGTGACTAAATAAACCATAAGCTAAAGTACTTAAAGGACAAAAGACAAAGAACTTAGTTTCTTCAACTAAAAAAAAAAGAAGATTGGACTAGGTAACCTTCGAGGTCACTTCTAGCTCTAAAGCTATTATCCTAATTAGCATAATGAATAAACATAAACACAATGCTTCACTTTACTGAGTCCAATAATCTGGGTATGCTAACAGTCCTTAATGAAGATCTCAGCTATCTAGCAAATAAATAAGTCATTAGGTTGAGCACTGAGCCTGGCACATAGTAGGATGTTTATTGATTGATTACCTGAGAACTGAGGACAAGGTGAAGGACAACTGATACCTAACCTATTTGGTTTCCTCTTCTGTAAAATGAAGGGATCATAGTTTTAGGGCTAGAAGAAATCTTAGAATTATAAAAAATGGCTTCTGAGGTTTCCAGCTCTGGATTTATC